GTCGGTTTCGATCCGTCTGTTGTTTGTCGGTCTGTTTGTTGGTTTGTTCACGTCGTTAATGAGTCGTTTGTAAGGTGCCGGTAGTTGTTGGCATCTGTTGAGAGGCGTCTGTTCTAAGTTAGTAAACCAGCTTTCCAGAGTCAGTCGTTGAAAATAGTTTGTACTGTAGGTTAAGCATTTAGCAGAGTCCCAGTCGATTCTGTGATTAGTTTGTCGGTGATGTTCAGAAATGTGATTGTTTACATCGCCATCTCTAGTTGCTTGTTTGTGTTCAGTTAGTCGCGTGTTAAGGTTTCTACCAGTCTCACCAATGTAGGAGGCCTGGCAGTCGGAGCATTCGATCTTATAAATCGCTCCCTGTCTGCTGTTGGGTTCGTCTTTGTCTTTAACGTTGGTCAGCAAATGTCGTAAAGTAGTAATAGGCCTGTGAGCTATGCGAATGTTGTAAGGTTGTAGGATCCGCGCGATAGCCTCAGATGTGCCTTTGATGTAGGGTATAGCAGCTGTAGTCGTGACAGATGTGGAGTCCCTGTTAGTTTCTGTAGTGTCGGTCGCCCTGTGAGTGTTTCGTCTAATGAAGTCAGTGTTGTAGTTGTTTTTGTCAAAAACACGGTCAAGGTACTTGTTTTCGTCAGATAAACTGTCCGGTGTGTTGCAAACAAGTTGCGCTCGTCTTGTCAATGTCTTGATAGTCGTAGCTTTGTGGGAAGTCGGGTTGTAGGATGATTCGTCAAGCAGTCTGTCGGTATGCGTCGGTTTTCTGTATATTGTTGTTCGTTGTTCGTTGTTGTTTCGGCCTACCAAACACTCGAGAAAAGGAAGCTTGCCGTCTTCTTCGATCTCCCTGGTAAACTGAATGTCGGTGTTTTGTTCGTTAAGGTGATTATGAAAAGCGGGATTTGGATTTGACATCGTGCCAGACGGGGAGCATTTTGGTTACAAACGGTACAACCTTGAAGAACTTTACGTTATATTTAATGGGGTTCGCACTAACCCCACTGAAAAACATTGGGAGGTGATCCGAAATGTCGACCAAGCAACTGCTTGTTCCTGGTAGATTGAATGACCCAGTTTTCGGCCAATAAGCGAGAAAGTGTGATCTGTTGCTCTGGCTGCTTTTGTTATGACTGACATGAGGCCTAAATGAAATGGCACGTCTCAGTATCCAGTTAGACGAACTTATTGTCTGACCGCCATATTTCATTCAAATTGACTTTGACTGATGAAGTCTCGATTATGGAACGTTAACCGTAAAAAGCAAGAAGAATGGTAAGTATCAATGTTACATGAAATTAGATAAAACATGTTGATATCCTGAAGATTATGACCAGTTTGTGTGCGCGAAACCATAGTGAAGTTTGCCGATATTGATAAAATCTTATGAAACTTACAAACTAAGATCTAGAAGTAAGTTGCGAAATTGGGTGCACAGCACTGCGCACACTGCACAACACGGTGCGAGTATATACGGCGATAGTTTGTAGAGAGGGGCTTGGCGTCCTTTCTTTGTATTACGCACAACGGACGCTGAAGTGACCTTTAACGCGAGTTTCGCTCTATGAACGCGATTCGAAACCAAATTTAATGAAGCTTACATCACATGAAAGCTTGCATCTTGTATTTCATTTCGTTTGGTTTTAATGATGCAAAGCTAAAATTGCGTAGAAACATGGTGAATCTCAGAGAGGAACCTTTAACCCTTTAAGTCCCACTAGTGACCGAGACAGAATTTCTCCTTCTACTATCTGTATGATATCGAGCAGATAAGTAATGAGAACAAAGAAAAATATCAATTAGGGATTGCTGGTTGATCCAATTCCAAATTCTTCAAACTAACATCATATAAATTGTTCGATAGACAGTAAGGAGAATTTCTGATGAAATCTTGGGAGTTAAAGGATTAACTATATTCGTTTGAGTGGTGGCGGCGTGTAATGGCGAGTTGACCTTAATCTCATTCATCACTTTGGAACAGAAAGTGATGACTGAGTGATAAGAATGACCTGAA